TATCTTTGCTTGAGAGTTGTCTACTGTTATATTGATTATCTCCTATTATCTCTGTCCAAAATGGTGGGAAAACAAAGAATTTGAATATTTTACTATATTGTTCTTTTGGCTTTTTTATGACAGTTTTGTTTTCTAGCAACCTCTATGTAACTTGTGACAGTCAAAGCAGCAGGGTTGTGCATCCCAAGAACCTAGGTGACTTCTTTCCTCTCTTCTCTTTCAATGACACTAGGAAAGCAAATTGCTTTTTTCCCCTTTTTCCAATTCTGAAAAGTTTGCAAAAAATGGAAAATGATGAACTAGCTTCTTGAACAAGTTTCTTGCTTGTTTGACTTAGTTTATTATATGTTATACTTCTGCTTTTTGTTGCCTGCTTTCTACTGTTATGTTGTTGCCTCGTTTGCATTTTGTATTGCCATACTACTATTTGTTTTTGCTGTTTAGGCAATTTTGTTTGGCTGTTGTTTGGGCCTTCTGTTTGGAATATTTGTTTGGCTGCTGTTTGGGCATTTGGCTGCTGTTTGGGCATTTTGTTTGTTTGGACAACCTTGCTGCATTTGTTCTTGTTTGGATAGATTTGCTTACGTTTCTTCTTTTTGTGAACCAAGAAGAATAATCTTCTTGTGATTTACAAATAGAGAAAATAAATTGTGATGAATTAAAAATGGCCTTCTGATTCCAATTTGCAAACTTTAATGATGAATAGCACCTTTTCTTTTGAAAATTCTTACTCATGTCCAAATAATTTTGTACTAATCACATTTCCTCTTTTTTTTTCATGTGAGCATAATTGGATGTGACAAAGCAGGGGAAGCAAGAGACTATGTGGCAAGCATGGAAGCAAAGGAACTTCAGTCAACCTTAGGCATAGATCCATTTAGATTTTCTTTGTAATTTAGAGAGAAACATTCAACAATTGTACTAATTTATTTTTTTAAATACCATAAGTTGTAAAACATAGAGTATTTAAAAGAACAAATTATTTTGTAACAATGTTTGAAAAAAATGGAGAAAGTCTTATGAGATATTCTGGTGTCCATTGAAACCCTTTACTGTCAATAACTTGTAATTTTCTCTTTGCATCTTAACTGATTCTTAAAGATTCCCAATCAAGATAATTGAAACAAAATGCTCTAATCTGATAATTTAAATTCCAATAATTTTATAATCTTGCAACTGCATTCCAAACAAACACGCATTGTCTATTCCATTTCCTAAACAAGCAAATGTTTTAAAAGACGCGAATCATCTGGTTAACCTGGATTAACAATCATGAGTATCTTACATGACAGTCTTAAATTCCATCTCTTGTCCCAAACAATCATGCCTTGAGAACAAACACTTTCTTTTCAGTAAACTTGATAAAGCATGAAAACCTGTGAAAGCCAATTGGATCTTTGAGAATTGCAAGAAAAACCCTAATTGTTGGTTTACTGCCACAGAAGAAAAATCTGTCTGATCGATTCCTGAGCCAACTTGAATATATGAGAAACCCTAGGGTTGTGTTTCTTATGAAAAATGGGAGGGCAAATTTTGGGGTACAACAGAGGGTGTTTGGGGTATTTTCAATTAACCTAAGTGAATGTTTGCTATTTAGATGAGTTTTCACTATGAATTAGGGGACTTTTTGCCAGCGAAGAACTACACAAGAAAAGATTGGAGAAGACAAGGGTTTCGATGGAAGGAGATTTTCATGAACGAAAGCGATTGAAGATCAAATTTCTCCCCAATACTTATAATGTCTACAATTTATATTTTGTTTTCTTTGAATACTATGAGTTGCTAAACCCCCCCAATGCTATGGGGTGTCCCTGATTTGATTATTTACACGAATTTGAGTTTGAATTTCTTTTCTAATTGTTTTTCATATTCAATTTGATTGTACAAGGTTTATATGCTTTCTTTGTCGGACCACCAAAGACTGATTTACGGTTAACAATCAATTAGATTGTGGTTGTTGAGATTTTTGTACGATTAGATTTTAATAGATATCACCTAGGACTAGGGATATCTTATAGTTACCGGTTAACTCTTGATAAAACACAGGCTTGATTTCATCACAATTCTCTAAGGACTTAGGATTTAGGATGAACATTCAAAGGTGTTCCCACTAAGGACTTAGGGGAAAATAACCTAAAGAGCTGGTAATTGATATTATGAACTTGTTGAAGAAATCAGGATTCATGATTGTTAAAGGGCGCATTATACAATTTACACTAGCATGTTACTCATATATGTGAAAAAGCTAATTTATATTTCTGCTTATTTCTACTTACTTCTAAGTGAGAATTTCCAAACAAAACCCCAATTTAATTTTTTGTTTAATTGAACCACCAATTGATTTTAATACTGATACGCAGTCCTTAAGATCGATAATTTGAGATTTCTCATTATTGCTACATTGGTAAATTTGTACACTTGCTAATTTTCTGATCATTTTACATGTTATTGCAAGCCACTTATAGGTCTTGATGCATGTTTTCTGGAAGGAGATTTTGGTGGGCAATTGATGCCGGCTATAGAAAGGGATGGAAATAATCAGATCTTTCCAATAGCATATGCTATTGTAGAGGCAGACCTATGCAATATTATTAATCAATTGTCAAGTGTTTAATGTTCAAATCTCATGAACTATTATTGTTCAATTGTCTAATGTTCAACTGTCATGAACTAATATTGTCTCAACTTATTGTTCAACTCTCAAGTGTTTAATGTCATACTATTAATCAACTTATGTCATAAATTGATGCATTATGTTCTACTTAAAATGCAGTACATAAACCCAAACTATTTTCAGCTTAACAACAACTTTGTTATTTCAAAATAACATAATCAAGTACATTACATTGCACATAACAATGACTTAACATAATCAACTAAAAATTACATCTTAACAAACTCGTCCTAACATGATCAACTTAGCCTAACATAGTCAACTTAACCTAACATACTCAACTGTGTTCATACAAACTTAAGCAACTTAACCTAATTGATCATATTTGATACAACAAATCCAGTTAACAACACTAATGTCATCCTGATGGTAAACTTGTTCATCATCTTCAAGAACTTGATCTTCAACTTCAATTCATCCTCTCTAATGATGGCTTCATTTAGCTTGGCCTTTCTTGGTTTAACTTTTGGTGCATTGAAGCTATTACTTCTTTGGCTCTTTGACCCATTTCCTCATAATACCATATGAAATGGTTGCATCTCTTATACCTATGTATCTAGAATTAGAGAAGAAAGTTGGATTTTCTGGAAATCACAATAATGCAGAACACGTATGTTACAAATCAAACAAATGTCTTGTACATCCCACAACAATAAAAAAGCGACGTCCTGAGTTCAAATATGTCCAAGCTGTCATCAATAGAGGTGGAAGACCACATTTGCATTCGCCATTGAAAAATGAACGACTAATGTATGTTGAATATTGGGACATCGTGAAGAACCTTGGACAATGAAGCTTGTTGCAATTTTTGGAGAAGGAGAGGAAGAGAAAATTTTGGTTAGGGTTTTCTAGGTGCTACGATTTGGGGACGATGATGAATGATTGTTAGGGCATCTGTGTGGAATGATGATTGAGTCCTAACATAATTTATTCATTTAATATTTTAAAATGATAATTTAAAATGATAATTTAAAATATTTTTTTACTTTGTTTAAATATAAATGATATTTAATGACGTAGCAGCAAGAATTTTAAAATTGGTCAAACTTTTCATTGTCATGTCATAAATGAGGTTGTCACATAGATAAATATGTGAGGGTGCCAAAAAAATCTCATGAATATTCAAAAGAATGGACCTAAATTTAAAGAGGGACACCAAAACTGCATTTTTTGGGGTTTCACCACGGTTTAGTCTGGTTTGAGGGTCAATTCTAGCATCAAGTAATTTCAGCCCCCTCCCGATCATAGTTGCGGATGATCGAACTGTGGTCCTCCTTACCAAGTCCAACGCCAATCACCACTGAATTAATTAACGATTGGTCTAAAACTGCATTTAAGCCTTTTACTATATAATTCAACACTTTCCTTCTTGCTTCAACCCTAAAACCTAGTTTTCTATGTTCTTCATCCTCTAAAGAGGGGTGGTTTTATGGTCAATTTTTTATCCAAAGTCACTCCTCTGAATTCTTTTCCCTTCCCTTTTCATTCAAATAAGTGATTTCACATATATTTTTAGTTTTTTCCTTTGTGATTTCGTTAGTGCGACGTTTTGTTGATCGTCGTCTTATTGCGGCATTATTTGGTTTTTCCGTCTTTAGTACAGTGTTTGTTCGGTTCGGATTGACATATTAGTTTCAACTTATTGCATATTCAACCAATGAGTTTGACGTTCTCAACGCTGCAAACTCAGAGACATAGGTATTCCGAGCATTTCAATTTCGTCAAATTTGTAGGCTTTGTCACATTTGTAGGCATTTTGCCGTTATATGCTATTAACACTAGTGCTGTGAATTTGTTCGCAGATTCATCATTTTCAGTTTATAGCGATTTTGAATTTGTATTATTCGATGTATTCTATCAATCTGAATGAATAAATGTCGTTTTTAGTATAAAAAAATCATAAAAATCATATTTAAAAATACCGAGAATTTTTTTTTAAGTTATAATAAATGAGCCCTTAACCTTTTTAAGTTATAATAAATGAGCCCTTGACCTTTTTAAGAGGACTTCCATTTTCCAGACGTACCTGATATTTTGAGTCAGCAGCCAATCCATTATAAAACGGGAAACAACTTGAGAGAAAACTCAACAATTTTGTCGAAGAAACATGTTACCAATAACTGAGCTCGCAATGGAAAAAAAGGATATTTATCTATTAACATTTGTAAGTTGATGTCATCTACGTACTTTTCCCCTATACATTGATCTATATCGAGCCATCACAACATTTAAGAACAAGATTTTCATCATGGCCATGTAACAGCTCAATATTACCACCAACTTTAAAGGTACCAAAGTTGCTCTTTCAATTCTCATCATCATAATATCATGTTCTCTCACTTGGCTTTGGTAGCTCAAAATTTTCTTCATTTCCACTATTCGTTTCAGAGTCAGCTCCCTCTGTCATATTTCTTAACGCGAGTTTAGGCGGGTGAATTCCATCTTCACTCAATTTATCTATAAACGGTTTCTCACAGACACAAGCGCTTGGATATTCGTGAAACTCTCGCCCAGGTTTCATCTCGTCTGGCTCTCCCATGAATCCTCTCTGACATGCCTTCATCTTTCCGGAAAATGTATCCCAGTCCATCTCATGCCTTGACATGAGCAATGCGCTAAGCTTCTTTGCATTTGGTCTAATGGTTCTTTTGTGACCCATGTATCGCCTGTTATGTATTCATATTAGTTTTTGAAGCAAGGAAGAATAAAATCATGACATCAGTGTAAACTTATATATTCTTACCTTTGACCAGCAAGAATCTTGGCCATGTTACCATTGTTGTTAGCAACAAATACATTACTTTCTTCACAAACAATATAATCAATAGCAGCAAGGCGGGAAGAAAATGAAAGAAAAGGTTTCAGCTCTTCTTCAACAAGCATCTCCTTTGTATAGATGTTGGGGAAAAGTTCTTTAAGAGGCTGCATGGTTTCATCCCCGCCATATATTTCCCCAGATGCAACATATAAGTATGTGTCATTTGTAAAACCAAGTGCTCGCAGCATCAAACCCACTTCGTGAGGAGTAAGAGGACATTTCCCACGCTTTCGCTCTTCATCAGGGCTCAAATCCTGTATTATCACATGAGGTAACCACTCAATCACTTGATATCAGCAAGGAAAAAACTAATTTTGGAGCTTGTTTGCTTCAGTTTATTTAGTGTGTTTGTTTAAGATTTTGGAAAAAATATAGACCTAGGAAAAAAAAATTAGATTCCTGGTTATTTTGAGAGAAGTTGCTTTTTGAATAGCTTCCGAGTAAAACCCTGATATTATAACTCAAATTTTAAAACAGTAACTGTTTGTATAAAATCTCTAAAACCTAAAATCATCTTTTTCCACAGCTTTAAAGTCACATTATTTTTCTTAAAGTTTAAGCTAACAGTAATATCGTCTTGGCAGTTGGAATAATATAGTTTTGTCAGTAGATGTCATGGGAATGTAGTCTTACAGGCAGTGTTGTCCATCTTTTTCTGATTTCACCAAGCTCTTGTTTTTCTTTTTCACCCCCACCAAAATAACAACCTGAAAATGCCAGCATATCTGGCTCAAACCTGTGCCATAAATCATTATGGATTATGAGAATCCAAACAATGGCCACAAATGAAACCTTCTATCTACTATTAAGTTGCGTAAAAAGTTCGACATTTTCAAATTGTTCAAATGATTGCAATCAATTTCAGAGAATGATGAAATTGTGAAAACGGGAACACAAATCAACCAGATTAAGACAAATCAAAAGATTTAAAAGGATAGGAACATATATGGACAGCATGTTTGTCATTAGGAAAGAGTAGAGATCAACTCACACCACTTTGCCATTTATTGAAATTGAATTTAAATTTCATATAGCAGGTTTATTGAACAAACCTTAAATGAACTGCTATGTAACGGCTTGCCGTCTTTTGCATTCTCATTACAATTTTTTGACCAAGTTTCCGTATAGGTTTTGTAAATCTCAAAGCATGATAATTAACACGGCAACGTAGTTTTTGTAGTTCATCATCGAGGTCATTGGCAAGTCTATAGTCAAACTTTGTCAATTGAAGAACCTGCAAAATATCCCAAAAAATCTGTTACCACCACGGCTGAATTCAGAAAGGACTTATCCAAACAGATATTAACAAGCTACTAGGTGTTTCATTGTGGCAGTCATTTAAAGAAACACAACATCTTCCAATGAAAATAATCACAAAATTTCAAATGTTAGATCATAACATGCAGCCTTACCCGTCGTCTCAAGAGTATTGGCAAAGCTTGATCAAGATAATATTCAGGTTCTGATTTCCTAGGGACACGCATTGTATATGGGGGTTTCTCCATTGATCGCATGATCTTATCAGGAACTCTTTTAACAATAGTAACATCTTTTGCAAGATAAGTAATGAACCAATTAACATCGAAAATATTGGCAAAGTCACTGTATTAAAAAAGTGTCGTTTATCAAATGAACAAATGTTAACTAGATTCAAAGTAATTCTAATATGAGTAAAGACTACGAAATGATATACAAATTACCTGTCATCTTTCCAAAAAGAATTATGATCTAATTGAGGTACAACAAGCGTAGCATTAAGAATTCGTGCAACAACAACAGCGTCAGTTATCTGAAGGCACGAACATGATTGTCATTTCCATAGAAATAATATTATTTTTAATCAATAATTTGTTTTTATTGAGTTTGTGTTTCTGCGTGTTTAAATCAGATCACACTAGTTCTATCAATTATCATCATGAATTTGAAATGAACTTAATCAATCTAGCCTCACTTTCTTCAAAAACAACTGAAAAGGAACAAATGCGCTAACAGAATGGTTTAGCCCTTTTCGTGATTTTGATCAATAGGAGAGCAACCAACTAAGACCACCAGATACATCAATTGATGAACGTGCAATTGATAATTGCAACAGAGAGTGAGGACCAATGGCATATTATAAAACTAATATCCTTCTTACCCCAGTTCTTTGTTGGTTCAGTCCTCCGCTTGCTGCAATAAGCAAGTAGCCATTTGACATGCGCTCATGTATCGCAGCTGCATTATCCAATTACCATAATGAGATAGAAAGTGACATGTAGAAATATTAAATTATTCATTCCGATATCAACGAATTATCTAGAGGTAAAACAAAGTTTAAGATGGAACACTTAAATTTTCTCAGTCATCTAATGAAAGGGGCCATGAAAGCCTCTTACAATTGGAACAATTACACACACACTATAGTTAGAAAAGGAGCATTCGTTAATCAAGATATAATAGATAAGTGTTTAAGTTTAAGGAATAAGGACGGCTTCTTGCACTTGAACTTTTACACGTGTGCTTAAGGGTGCAAAAAGAAGACGGTTTAGCATACTAGGGTTTGGAAAAGAGGAAGAATTTTCAAAATTTTGTGAAAAGTCTAGCAATGTTACAAGTCATCTGGATTTGTTTAATATCCATAAAAAGCACCATACTACCATATACAAGGGAAGCAAAACAATATGCCTAAAGTGGTTTTCTAAAACTGTCGATGTAGAGTCACATCTATTGATCTATCTATTGCTAGCCAAAAAACCTATGACTATATGATAATAGAAGAGAGCCGCTGAGCTCTAATAGGGGTTCTACAGTAGACAGCATTAGTATATCAAGAGCATATTAAGCTGAGGAAAACAATTTCTATTTTGATTTCTCGTATTTACTTATAAAAACAAAAATGTCACACTAAAAATGTCACAAGGTATGTTTTAAATACCACATAACACCAAAGCATTGAGACATTATCTAAATCATATGCAAAGTGAAAATCACTAGAAAGATCACGATAAGAGAGGCGAAGGGTGGAAAAAATGTCTATGAAGCTAACAAACCTCAGAGCAAATTTCATTGATCTCTATCAGTGTCATCAAATATACGCCATGGCAGCGTTATGGCGGATATACATGGCAATTTTCAGGCTCGTCGCAATGGTAAACATTGGCCGATATTCCGGGGTTTTCTGCCATAATCCACTACAATGGCGCCCCTTTATGGCGGGATTTTGGCTCTCCGCCGTGGACCACCATCTGCTATCGATAACACTGATATCTATTTAATCTACTGATATAATCTAACCTAAAACAGTGGAGAAATATCAACAACAGAATTGTACTTAACGAAACATCATAGGACATACATGTCAACGGTACCAATTTTAGTTAGCATTAGCAAAAACAAAACACAAGTAGTTAGTCAGTTAGTTAACTTACGCGAAAAATTGCGTCCCCTTTCTTTGCATCCATAGTAGTATTTAGAATATTGTGATTCCCAAATATCAATTGGCGCATGACCATCCTAAAAAAAAAAAACATTCATGATGTAAAAATTAATAAGGAATCATATTGATTGAAAAAGATAAGCACATCATGCTATATATAGAGCTCATGAATGATTAACTACCTAACTAAGTAACTAGCTAGTAGTTGTAACTAACGAACTCACTAATCAATCAATATTTTTGTTAATTACGCTGTATGAGAGTGACACCGGTAATAATTTGAAAAATAAAAAAAATGGAACATAATCACTAGTGTGAGTGTTACAGAGTTAGTAATTGTGATGCAATGCAGAAAAGGGAAAAGAAGAGAAACCTGTGAAGAAAAGAAAGAGCGGTGAACGAATCGTTGAGAGTACCATTCAACGTGAGAAACAAGGTGACCTGTTAAAAGGGAAATTAAACCCAAACCGAAGAGCATGAAGCCGCAAATGAGGGACCAGGGGATGGATCTCGAACAGAAGACGTGTTTGGTGTTAGGGTGAGTGTGGTTCATCGATAACAACCACGACTTCACCACACCCATTGGGGTTTGGGTTACAAAATCAAAACCAAAATCTTCATTTAAAACCCCATTCGAGAATGGTGTAGATTTTAGAGAGTGACGCGCAACTTTAGAATAGAATCGGATTTGCGAGGTCAGTTGGTTAATTTGATCTTAGTGAAAACAGAGAACGTAGGAAAATGATTGAAAATGAAAGAATCGAGCATATAGATCTTCCTATTAATATTTCCTATGCCTTCATTATATATAGATTCTATTTTAATGTATTGCTACATTTCTTTCCTCTTTTATATTTTATATAAATATGAAAATGATTTTTTTTATTTATGAAAAATCAAAGAACTATTTACTTACATTCAAAGTGAAATCTTCATTATTGAATCAAGTAGTTATACGGGAGTACGTATACAATGGATCATTGGGTGCAACTTAGTTATGGTAGTATAATTATACACAATGTAAACTTTTAATTACAATAACTAACAAAGGTAATTATTTTTTGACCAACTAACAACCTTTGACAAAATGGTTCATCATAGTTTCATGAACAAGTTAGCCATCTCTAACTTGTTCATGGTGCAATATTCCTTCAAAAGTTGGAGGATAGATATTAATCATGCCTAACTTGGATAATAGAGTATGAAAGGGTTGTGGTAAGAGTGACTTAGTGAATAAATCAATCAGTTGATCTTTGGAAGAAACAAGTAATAGTTTGAATACTTGAGCTTGAAGCTTCTATCGGACAATGTGACAGTCGATCTCCAAATGTTTGGTTTGGTCATGGAAAAATGGGTTAGCAGCAATGTGTATAACATTTAAGTTGTCACGGTACAAGACTGAAGGTTTGGAAGTGTGAATATGGAGATCACGAAGGAGATAGATCAACCATTGCATTTCACTAGTGGTTGCAGCGAGAGCACGATATTCAGCTTCTTATTATGAGCGGGATACAATAAGTAGTTTCTTTGTGCGCCATGAAATGAGAGACTTACAAATGAGAAAACATTGGCATGAGATGGATCTTTGTGTGTCTGCACAACCTATCCAATTTGCATCCGAAAAGCCAATCAATTATGCATGAGACTCTCTTGAGAAGAATAAGCCACGACCAGGACATCCTTTTAGGTGGAAAATAACCCGTGTGACAGCCTTATGATGAGAAACTGTAGGATTGGTTAGGTATTGGCTCAGTTGTTGTGTGGTGAAAGTAATGCCATGTATGGTAGTTGTAAGATAGAGTAAGCGACCAACCAAGTGCATGTATGCAGAGATATCATTGTATGTAAGGCTCGTTTCATGGTGTAGTTTGATAGCTTGATCAGCATGTGTTGACATTGGTTTGGATCCAAGGCAACTTATGTAAGAAATGAGATCGAGGCAATATTTGCGTTGGCATATAGTGATTCCTTGGGAAGAATGTGCAACTTCAAGTCCAAGGAAATATTTAAGCTGACCAAGGTTTTTGATCTAAAAAGTTTGGCGGAGAATTGATTTGATGTGATCAAATTCCATTAATAAATTTCTAGCAATGATGATATCATCAACATACACTAAGAGAAGTGTGAATATGTTGTTACTTGCTTGATGATGAGAGAATAATCTGAGTTGGCTTATTTGTATTGTTGGGCAAGAAGAGTATATGTGAGATTTTCATGCAATTTGTGACTTGCTTGCTTAAGACCATAAAGGGACTTGATAAGTTTGCAAACTTAATTAGGTTTACTTGGTGTAATGCCTGAAGGGAGAGTCATATAGACACCCTCTTGTAAGTCTCGGTGCAAAAATGCATTGTTGACATCTAATTGGTGAATAAACCAATTATGGATGGTTGTTAAGGCAATCACCATCATAATTGTGGTCATCTTAGCTACACGTGAATATGTATCAAAGTAGTCGAGGCTTTCAATTTAATTGAATCCTTTGGCTACAAGGCGTGCTTTAAATCTTTCAACTGAGCCATCTACATGAAATTTCACTTTGTAGACCCATTTGCATCTAATTGGTTTGATGTTTGGTGGCGCATCAATAAGTTGTCACGTGCTTGTTCTTTCAAGAGCTAACATTTCAGCTTGCATGGCTTTGTTCCAACAATCAAACTTGCTAGCTTCAGCATATGTCCTTGGCTCATAAAGGGTATTAATGGACATTATGAGATGATGAAAATAAGGAGACAATGAAGAATAAGACAAATAGTTAGACAAAGGATATGATGTACCTGATGATGATTGGTGTGTTTGATCAGTGAAAGAACTACACAAGTAACCTTTGAGATAAACAGATGTTTGTCTGGTTCAAGTGGATTATTTAGGTGCTTGGTCAATTTGGTTAGGAGGGGAAATTTGTGGATCATGTATAGTGCAAGGAATAGTTTCTTCATTGTCAAGTAAGGTAAGTTATGGGGAATTAGTAGTTTGTTAAGGGGAGGATGAAGTAGAGACAGGTGATGGTGTGTTAGTAACAGGTAAGTAAGGTATGGTAGGAACATGAGTTGTAGGTGATGTGTGGGAAATAAGACCAGGTTTGTGAATATGGTATATATGCCAGTTAGAAGTAGAACATGATTTTTGAATGGCATAAAGGATAATATTCTCATGAAAGGTTAGATGTCTTGACACAAGTATTTCATTTGTGTGTAGGTCAAGTAAAATGCTACCTTTGATTCCTGCCTTGTATCTCAAGAAAACTGCTTTTCTAGCTCTTGGATCAATTTTGGACTTATGAGATTGAAGGATAGAGGCATAAGTGAGACATCCAAAGACTTTAAAGTCTTGAATATCAGATGATTATCCTTTATGATGTTGAGCAAAACAAATGAAATATGGTTAAGTAAGGGGGATGCAATCATGTTCATGAGGAAAACAACATGTTTAAAAGCATATGACCATAAATATTTTGTAAGTTTGGATTGGTAAAGCATGGCTCTAACTATATTGAGGATGTGAAGATTTTTTTCTCAACACGACCATTTTCTGAGGTGTCTCTGCCATTACCTTTGGTGTTGAATACCTTTGGAGTTATAGAATTGGGGCATGATGAACTCAGGGCCATTATCTGATTTGACAATTTTAGGTGTGATATGATGTTGAGTTTCAATCATGATAGTAAAGTCTTTAACATATAAAGCAAATTTAACTTTGGGTTTTAGGCATATAATCTATGTGAATCTTCTATTGTCATCAAGAATTGTAAGGAAATATCAATGACCATGAACTGATTGAATGGAAAGAGGGTCCTAAATATCAAAATGCAATCAATTATATTTTTATTGAGCATTTGAGATGCTAATCTTAAATGATAACTTCTTTTGTTTGTAAAAATGGCATATATCACAAATTATGGATTTATTATGAGAAATATTAGGGTACGATTGTGTTATTTGAGATAATCTATCATTAGATAAGTGGCCAAGTCTAAAATGTCATGGGGAAGAGGGATTAATTGTTACAGTACATGAAGAAATATTTAATGTGTTCACATTTTTCAAGTCTTAAGGGATATTGTTGGGCTGGGACTTGGTGATATTGTGTAATTATAGCTGATAAAGTTCATTCATTAATTCATCCAAACCAATCATCTGAGATGCCTTCATATCCTCTTTGTGACAAGAAAGTGCAGTGCGCGTGACTTGGTAATTTAGAGATCTGCACAATTTTGAAATAAATACAAGATTCAATCGAAATTCAGGTGAATATAGCACATTTGTGATACATAATTAAGGTGAAAAATGAACATTACCAACATGATGGACTAAGACTGAATTTCCATTTGGTAAATGTACTTTAATAGGTTTAATTCTATAAAAAGAAGTAAAGCATGATTGAGAGGAACAAATGTGGTCATTTCCTCCAGAATCGAGGAGCCACACTATGTTATTATAACTTACAGAACAAGTAACTACACTAGGGATACCTGATAGGTGAGTCTCATCTGATGAATGACTAGTATGAGCAGAAATTGAAGTGTGAAGTTGGTTGGTGCTTGAGCCAGTTTCAGGACCTACTAAAGGAATTAAGTTTGCTTGTTGTAACAAGTTCATGAGTTGATCATACCTCTCTTTATTGAGACTAGGATTAGTGGTTTCTTGTTGATTGGCCTCAGAAGCAATAGGTTGAGACTCAATGGCATTGCTGCTAGATGAATGAGGTTTGTTAATGTTGGGATGTCCATGCTTCTGATAGCAAAATTCTACTGTATGACCTTACTTGTGGCAATGTATGCAGTGTTTGAAGTTGCTTCTATCATGATCAATGTTTTTGGGGAACAACCAAATTCCCTGAATCATCACACTCGCGTATGAGAACCATTTCTAAAATATATTCAGGAAGCGAATAAGGTAAAAGAATGTTACCTGAAATGTAGGAAGGCAAGAAACTGGTAGAGAAGCAAACAAGCATGAGAACCTTGAAGTAACGAGAAATGGAGAGCAAAAATGGGGTAAAAAGGAGAAAAAGGGATTTTAAGACTTTTTGAAAAGACGTTGGAGCCAATACATAAGCCTTGTTTAGGATCATAATGGCATTAACTTCTCCATAAAAGCCATCATTACAAAGAAAGGGGGCAAGAATTTGATAGGATGCGCCTCATCTTGACATTTGAAAATCCAATTTTACACGTTAGCGTTAGACAAACATTGGATCTATGCATGGTCAGATAGGGGTGTCGTCTGTTCGAGAAAGAGAATTCCAAGATTTATTGTCCTAACACTTGACTCCACTGTGCCTCGTGATTGGGGGGTTTATGTACACCTCGAAATTCTCAATAATGGGTTATAGATCAAATAAGTTGAGTAAGCCGAAAAGACGAGTCACCAAGTATGAGTTCGTGAGATGTAGGGGGATCTGGGCCGATATGAGACGTCCAATGTTTTGGGTCCTCGGAGAAGGGCACCTGAGTAATATAAGTAGTCGGAGGGTCGAGGTGCCAAATCGGTGTGACAATTATAATAGTCTAAAGGATGCACGAGAGTTACAAAAGTTGATGGAAGAGGCGTTACACTCTCATGATTGCGACAACTGACGTTA